TCGATAACAATAACCGACCCGAGACATTCCAATAATATATCCCATGTCAGCAGATTTCTGATAATAGTTAAACGCTTTTTTTTCATTCTTCATAACTTCAATCCCATTATGGTAGTAAACACCAACTTGAAACATTCCAGCAGCATTTCCCATATCAGCAGATTTTTGATAATATTCAAATGCTTTGCGCCTATCCATTTTTATTCCAATCCCGTTATGATAGTAGACACCAACATGAAACATTCCAGTAGCATTTCCCATATTAGCAGATTTTTGATAATGAACAAATGCTTTACGGTTACTTTTACTGACACCGATTCCATGTTGGTAACAATAACCAATCATAAATAATCCTTGTGCATTACCCATATTAGCAGATTTCTGGTAATATTCGAATGCCTTATGTTCATCTTTTTCAACTCCTATTCCATTGTTATAACAATCACCAACTTGAATCATTCTATCAGCATTACCCATATCAGCAGATTTCTGGTAATATTTGAATGCCTTATGTTCATCTTCTATTCCATTTTTATAACAATCACCAACTTGATTTACTGCAAAAGTATTTCCCATCTCAGCAGATTTCTGATAATATTCGAATGCCTTATGTTCATTTTTTTCAACTCCTATTCCATTTAGATAACTATTTGCAAGGTTATTCATTGCAGTAGTATTTTTAGATTTCGGATAATATTCGAATGCCTTATGTTCATCTTTTTCAACTCCTATTCCATTTTGATAACAATTTCCAACATTATTTATCGCAATAGTATTTCCCATCTCAGCAGATTTCTGATAATATTCGAATGCCTTATGTTCACCTTTTTCAACTCCTATTCCATGATGATAACAATAACCAACATTAAATATCGCCGTAGTATTTCCCATCTCAGCGGATCTCTGATAATATTCGAATGCCTTATGTTCATCTTTTTCAACTCCTATTCCATTTTGATAACAATTTCCAACATTATATATCGCTGTAGTATTTCCCATCACAGCAGATTTCTGATAATATTCGAATGCCTTATGTTCATCTTTTTCAACTCCCATTCCATTTTGATAACAATATCCAACATGATTTATTCCATTTGCATGGTTCATTACAGCTGACTTCTGAAAGTGAATGAATGCTTTATTATTATTTTTTTCCACACCAACTCCATTCTTATAACAATCACCGAGATGTATGATCCCATATGAATCATTCATTTCTGCTGACTTTTTATAATAAATAAATGCTTCATGATTGTTTTTTTCAACACCAATTCCATTTTCATGACAGTAGCCTAGATTAGTAATTCCAATAGAATTTCCCATCTCTGCAGATTTTTTATAATGAAGAATGGCTTGATTTTCATCTTTTTTAATCCATTTTCCATACATATAGCAATATGCAAGAATATTTTGAATTATAGGATTGGATTGAATAATTGGATTTTCTTGATTATTTAATAAATTGATTATTTCTTCTGGGATTTGCTGCTTGTTTGCCAAATAATTGGTTATTGAGTGAAAAATTGAATCGTCATCGTTTCCTTTCATAATTTCTTTGCTATATAAATCGCATAATTCCTTGATAATTTTATTTAGAAAATTCTGTGAACCACCAAAAAGTGATGTATTAGCGACTTGATCGTCTGATAATCGTCTATTATTAACGCTTTGTATGTTTTCTTCACTTGACATGATAGACAGTACTGTATACGAATAGTCAACTGGTACATATAACGTAATACAAGTGCGTATATATATGTTTTTGATTGTTGCACAAAATAATACATAATACTGTACATAATGTAGATCGATTACCCGATTAATTACCAAAAATCTGCTAAGTTAGTGGGACGTCTAAAGCGGAGGCTCTCATATTTCTAATAATGTTCTCGATTAACTTTAGGGTTAGGGTCATCCTATATTAGGGTAGGGTTAGGTTTTAGGTAGTTATATATAAGCAAAATTGCCTTCCTGACATTTTTGATTAACCTGCCCGAGGTAGGTTTAGACTGCTGTTTTTTGTATTTTTCGGGTTTTTGGTTTTTATTTTTTTATCAAACTTCTATAATTTAATTGGTGGGTGATCACATGATTTGCCTCCACTTTAGACGTCCCCTAAGTTAGGAAATGTTGATGGCTATTCAATCTCCTTGTTATGAACATGTAATTAGTGCTAAAAAGAACCAAAACGAATGAAAAAAGTGTAAAAAATTTGAAGATAGGTTATTTAATATCAGTTATTGTTATCAATATGGAATTGGAGTTAAAGATGAATATAAATCATTTATTTGTTATCTAAAATCTGCCGACTTAGAAAATGCTGATGGATTATTCAATCTCTGTTATCAATATGTAATTGGAGTGAAAAAATGTAAATAAGGCATTTATTTATTAAATCTGCAGATAGATTATTCAATCTCGGTTCTTGTTATCAACAAGGGGCTGGTGTTGAAAAAAAGAGTAAAATACTGATGAATCGGAATGAAAATAATTAAAATTAAGCATTCAATGATTGTTTTAAATCTGTTGTGGTGAGAAGTAATTAGATGCCCTAACTCTCACATAAACCTCTGTGATTTTTAACCAATAAATTTCAAAATCAGGTGTAACGTAAACAATCGAAGCGAAACCACTTTTTTACAAAAAAAACAGCAATAGCTAGAAATTTTAATTAAGAAACCACCTTCTGCGGTCTAATTAAAAATGTTCCTCGTGAAGTTTTACTACAACATATTAAGTTTTCCCCTAATTCACTACAACGCAGTTTATTCTTTGTAAAAAATTACAGGGGTGAACAATTTTTGTGGGAACGCTACTTAAAATGAAGGAATGATGACTGGCGAAACCATATAGTTTCGTCAATTCGTCAATGACGAAACATATGAGTTCCATCAATTTGTCAACGGCAAAATAGTTTCGTCAGGTATCTATAGTGGGAAGCAATAAAGGACTATATTAAAAGAAATGAAAAATAGGTACAATTTATCATTCATTACGGATAATGAATTTAAAGATGTCGATAAAATTGGCAAGGGTGGATTCTCAACAGTTTATAAAGCTCGATGGAGCAGTTACAATAGATGGCTACACGTCGCTCTCAAATTAATTCCCAGTGAAAAATATGCATAAAATTTTATTTACTAACGACAAATTACTTAGATTAAAGCATATTGTGATATTAGTTAAATTATGTGGATTATCACAAATTAAAAATTTTGAGAGTTATATTCTTGTATCAGAATATGCTAATAAAGGTTCTTTATGTGAAAATCTTAAATTTATTGTCGCGGCTGAAGCTGGAAATGGCTGAAGCTGGAAATTAGAGGTCTCGCTTTAAAACTATAAGCCCTGCTAAAATCCAACTATACTCTTTTATTATAAACCCTAACCCTAAATTCTAATCTAACTATAAAAAAAAATGCATTCCAAAATTTTTTGTAAATTTCATATTAAAATATTTAAAATTTCCAGCTTCAGCCATTTCCAGCTTCAGCCACGACATTTATTGTTTTTGATCTTGAAGTTATTCATTCTAAAGGATTTATTCATCGAGATCTTCATAGAGGTAATATCTTGTAAGATAATTTATATAAAGTATATATTGCTGATTTAGGACTAACAATGTCAACAAAAATTCCGATGGAATTTGTGGGGCCATGCCATATATTGCACCAGAAGTTTTACAGGGAAATCCGTATACACAAGCATTAGATATCTACAGTTTTGGAGTCATCATGACAGAAATTGCAAATGGAAAAAGACCATTTGATGGTGAACCATTTTATATTGGACTCTCACTAAGGATTGTCAATGTGAGCGGCCGAAATATGCTTTAGGAACACCTGATCATAATATAACTTAGTCAAACGATGCATGAATTCGATTTTAAGAAAAGACCTACCGCAAATGAAATTATGGCGATTTACAGAAAGGTTGACTTCCGCAAATCATGATGAATGTAAAATCCCGAGAAATCAGGTGATTCTAGTAGATTTTTCGATTCTTAGAAAATAGAGATTTCGAATAAATTTATTGAAAATATGATCAATAAGGAATTTAAGATCCCAGTTATTTTTCTGCTATCATAATCATGAAATAACAGGTTCACACCTTTTTGCAAACCGCCATAAGATGAAATCGAAGATTGACTTAAAAAATTGAAAGTTCAATTGAAAACGAAATCAAAAAACCATTCCTGGAATCAGACAAAAACAAACATGAAGAAGTCGAACAAATACATCTAATGATATGTACAATTCAAAGCTCATCAACACTCGATTGATTACATATAAATTAGAAAAGGAATCTATTGAAATAATTGAAATTACTGAAATATAAAAATTATAAATTGTATGTTTAATTTATTAATCAAAATTGATTGTGTTTATAACTTAATTATTTAAGATCTTTAATTCAGATCATCTACAATGAACCTTTCACTCGATTGCAATCAATTATTCGGTAGGCCTAGTCTTAAGTACATAAAACAATGATTTTATTTATATTCCATAAAATATTAAACACATTTAAAATACGAGTACGTCAAATTGACAAGAGAACATGCACTCTAACGAAATACAAATAGATATGATAAAAAATGTAACAAAATACATAAGTACGTAATACATAAATTAGGATAGTATTTAGGTTCGTAACCAAATTCTTTATGTCAAAGAAGTTTCTCTATAGCATGTTTGCCTTAAGCTTTACTCTAATTTTAAAAAATCTTTAACAATAAAATGAGGTTAAAGAAAATAACAATATGGTAGATTACTGTGTTAATTACTGTGTTGCAAACCTAAACACGTGAAAAAATAAATAAAAGCGTTGATTATTTCATAAAAATTTCAACTTTAGAACTGAATCATTTGAAGATAAGGTCGAATGAATTCTACTTTAATTACAACTTAAGTTATGTATCCTGCATTCTAGGTTTTAGACGGACTTTAAGTTCTCGCCACTGATAAGCTGTAGCCCAAACTAAGTCCAATCCTTGATCTTTATTTACAAATTCTGTCATATTTCATTAAGGCTGCCACCAAAAGTACTTTTATTTCAGTTAGCGCCCAGAGCTTTCCCTGTCAACGTAAGCCATATACAATAAATTAGTAACGTTTTAAAATTTATTAAGATCAATTAAATTATAACTTTTACTAATACTAATACAAACCGGACAAATTCTAGCACCACCACCAAATGTTGCAAACGCCTTTTTATTATTTGCTTCTTTAGCATTCATTGATCGCTTACTATTCTTATTCTTTAAAAACCTTTCGGGATCAAAAATTTCAGCATCAATCCAATCATTTTTATTACAATTTATTCTCTCGTAATATAATACAAATCTTTGTCCTTTTTCCCATAGATATCCACCAACTTCTACAGGCTCAGAATTTGATCGTACCAGAACTGGAAATGGCGTGATTAAACGAAGGGCTTCTTTAATTAAAGCGTCACAATACGATAATTTTTCTATATCTTCGTAAAGGGAATTTAAAGATATTGAATGTCCGAATATCTCATTGATCTCAGAAAGTGCTTTAGATTTTACAGAAGGATATTTGCATATATAATAAAATATTGAACACATAGAAGTCGCAACCTGTTATAAGTTAAATATTAATATTATGAATATAAGTATTATATTCATTGTTTATTTATTGCTATAAAATACAAACGTTATATTAAATAATTAGTTACCGTTTCAGTGGAACCCAAGAAAATGTCTCTAATAACACCAAAAATTTCATGATCTTTCAACGATCGGCCTAATGACTTATATATAAGCATGATCTAGATCTCGTGGTGTGTTGACAGTAAGGAGCAATGTTAAAAAGTCGGATGGAAGTAAAGTATCGTTGGATAATAAATTGATTTCCGCGCGTCTTCTTTGAATTAATTCAAGTAAAAGGGTTTCCAATTCTTTTACAGTTTTAAAATACTTGTTGTCGTAGTAACTTATGCCAGGAGCATGTCTTATAAAAGGTGGGATTATATTGAACCCTTGAGTTAAAAAAAAAATATTTATATATTAAACACTTTAATAATAAGAGCTTATTTGAAATATAAATATATTATATAAAAATTATTACATAGC